CAGTGTAACATCCCTGGTTGACAGGTGAGAAAACTGGATCCTTGGGGAATGTGTCCTCACTTGTGTGTCCAGGAAACTGGCATCAGTGGTAAGCCACGCCTTTAATAAGACTTTATATTTTGTGCATTCCTGCAATTTAAAGTCCTAAAGGCTACCAGCCTTACTAAATTCATGATGTTCCCCATGTTCTGTGTGTCTGAGAGAGCTGGAGGATGCCCATTCCCCTGCCCCTGGTCTCTTTCTGGGTAGCTTCCCTTCCTTCTGGTGTATTCCAACTGTGCCCTTGAAATTGGGTCCTGCTGTTGCTGGGACTGAGAACTGGTACAGCTTGTGACCTTAAACTTTTTTACTTTTTATTTTTATTTATTCTTTGTGTCTTTCACATCATGCCTTCAGATCCTACCCCAATACATAACAAAATAAAATTTAAGAGGAAAAAAAAAAAAAAAAACAAGGAAGGGGAAAATCTCATTATGGAAGCTGCAGTGTGACACAGAGAGTAAACCCCTTTATCCATATATTTTTACATGTAGATGTTAATTGAAAAGAATCATTGGTCTGGTTTGAGGCTCCTGGTCTCTGCTACAGCATCAATGCTGGATCCTCGCTGGGGCTTCCTTGATATATTGTTGCCCTGTGTTATGGAGATCCCGACACCACTTCCTCATGCTCCAATAGATCATAGATGGGGTAATGTAACACATAACCCTGGTTCTGTGCCTGGGTAGTTGCAGGGTTGGTCAGCCTGCCAGCACTCCTTGTCCTCAAGACCAGGGGGGCACTCTCCAGCATTTTCCTGGCTGGTTCAGCCAGGGTCTGTGCTAGGTCACCCACACCTCCAGGTCAGGCTCTACTGTGTTGCCCAGGGGAAGCAGCTGATGAAGGGAAGGGACAGCTCTCCTGTTCTCAGGACCTTGGGGCTAGCTCTCCACCTGCCTCAGGCATTGGTGGATGGGGGTGGGGTGGGGTGGGGTGGGGGAGGGTATCTCTCTCAACCATGCAGCCTTTAGACAGGTGAGTATTGGGGACTGCTCTGCCATGCTCACAATATTGGGTCTGGTTTACCCACACCTCCACCAACAGAGTCACCTCTGTTGCGCTGCTCAGGTGAGGGGCAGGGCCTGCTTACCAGAGTGTTGGAGCTGGTAGGGGGCAGGGACAGTTCTCCCGTCTGCCTCAGGCGCTACTGGGTTGTGTGGGGAAGGGAAGAAATGGGGGGCAGCTCTCCTATGCGTGCAATGTCAGGGTTGTCTCACCCACATGGGGTTGACTCTCACTTTAAACCTATGGACAGACAACTGCTAGTGTGTGTGTGTGTGTGTGTGTGTGTGTGTGTGTGTGTGTGTGTGGTTCTCTTGGGTGGGTCCCTGTTCTAATGCTAGCCAGAAGCTGATATTAACAGGCCCATTTTGAGGTCTTTGAGAGGTCGTTGAGGCACAGGTAGAGGAAGTGGTACCTGGTCCACAGTCACTAGAGCTAGGAAGAGACAGCTGTGTTTCAGGACTCAGCTAGGAAAAAAAAAGTTACTCCAGGCAGTTCAACACTGAACTCTGAACTCTGACCCCAGCACACAGTAGGCTCTGGATTCCAGCTACACAGCTGACTCACTGTGCACTCTCTGTCCACCTCTACATTGTTTTTAAACTTTACCTTTCTCTTTGCTGTGACCAAGTCCCTGACAGCAGAACTGAAAACAGAAATATTTATTTTGGCTCGTGATTTCTGAGTTTAGTCCACAGTCACTTGACTCCATGCCCTTGGGCAGAACGTCATGGCAGCAGGAGCTTGTGGCAGGGGTGGGTCTCCCTTAGGGTAGACAGGAAGCAGGGAGAAGGGGAATGCTGGTGCCTTGCTTGCTTCCAAACCATGAGATGGTGCTGCCGGCATTGAGGACGGATGTGTCCTCAGTTAGTCCTCCCTGGGGATGACCTCCTCACAGGCACTCCCAAAGGTGGTCACCCCAAGGTCCTATATCAGGACTTCTTTTACTTTTTGGAGACAGGGTCCCTCTATGTAGTGCTGGCCGTCCTGGAGCTTGCAGTGTAGGTCAGGCTGGCCTTGGACTGACAAGGATCTTTGGCCTCTTCCTCCTGAGTTCAGGAAGTGCCACCACATGTAGGACTTCTTAAAACCATTTTTGCTTGATGACCTCTTCTAGGGTGAGTTTTTGCACCACCCTGGGTATGTAGGTATATGAAATAGTAAATGAAACATTGACTGATAAGTCATGAACTTATGTAAGGACAATTTTTTTTTGGCATACATGTAATTTGACTGTTAAAGATGAAAGTAAGTTTGCGCACTGAGATGACCTGATTGTTTATGAAGAATGGTATCTTGGCTGAATGTTGCCCACTGTAGAACATAAAGTATCACCACGGTTTTTCGGTTAAAGTCCATGTTTTGTTTCTGTCGTTATCCGTGATGCACATTGTGTTGGTTGTTCTATGCTCTTTGAGCTGACTGATATGCTGGCTGTAGAAGCAGGGCCACCCTCTCCCCCTCAGACCCAGTGTGTTTATCTCATAGTCCTTGTCCTCCAAGGCACCTCGTCTAGTTGGTCTTGGCCCCTGTGTCACAGGAGGGCAGGGAACAGCAAAACAAACATAAGTGGAAATGCTGGTGAGTGTAGCTAGGAGGTGAGCCACTGCCAACCAGGGTCACTGTTGTTTATCCCATGACATAAAAGAAGTTCCTGCAAGTCCAGCCTTGCGAGGCTCATCCGCGCGCGCGGGAGGGAGCTCCCTCAGGAATTCCAACAGACTGCCTCAGCTTCCCTAGTCAGTTTTTGCTGGATGTTGTGAACATCCAGTTTGATGATGTTTCCTCTGCTGTTTGCTCTTTACTTGGAAACCTCCCCTGAGGGGACCATCTGCTTTGCCTTTGACTCTCTGTTGGGAACTCCAGCTAGCTGCCCTAAAGTGGATTTCTACTAAACATTTGGCTGATTTAATAATGTTTGCACCTACCCATCTCTCTCTAGCTATTTATTCTTTTACTTTGGCTAACTGTGTACTTACTCAGATATTTAAAACCAAGAGTATTCATAGGTCCTTCTCCAGGTAGTGCCAAATTATCATCCATGCCAAGAAAGGCATTTGTTTAAATAAGTGTGGGACAAGTGCAAGCAGCACGTTGTGGACATTTCAGGGGCTGTCAGTAGTTCTGTCCTAATCCCAAGCCAAAATCAATTGAATTTAAAAAATTATCTATTTATTGAGAGAGGAAGGGAGGGAGAGCGAGTGAGTATGGGTGCATACCCAGCTTGCATATGGTCCGAAGTCAACTTGTGGCTGTTGGTTCTCTCCTATCATGTGGATTCTTGGTTTTGAACTCAGGTCATCAGGCTTGCTTGCAGTTAGGTGCCTTTGCCAGCTGAGCCATCTAGCTAGCCCTTAATTTATTTTTTATTATGGGTGGTATATAACATTATATAATATGTGATTTATGGCATATTCTCTATTAAGAAGAAACTGGATACCACTACTGCATTTGAGAAACCAGATTTGTCATCTGCAGGAGATAACTATAAATAGAAATGCAAAGACAGTTTTAAAATTCCAACTGGATGCCATTGTGTGCTGGAGGCTTGGAACCTAAGACTTGAGATTTGCTGAAAAGGAGGCATTCCGTGTGTGTTGTTGAGGGGTTAAAAATAGATCACCGATGCCATGTTGCTGTGTTTGAGGCTACAGGAAGCCATGGATAAGTTCATCTGCTTACTCTCACTTCATGGGTCTCCCATTGTCTCAGTTAAGGTTTCTACTGCTATGAAGAGACAACATGACCACAGCAACTCTTTTTTTTCCCCTTCTTCTGGGATAGGGTTTCCTCTGTGTAGTTTTGGAGCCTGTCCTGAAACTCCCTTTGTAGATCAGGCTGGCCTTGAATTCAAAGAGATCCTCCTGACCAAGGCAACTTTTATAAAGGAAAACATTTAATTGGGGCTGGCTTGCAGTTTAGAGGTTCAGTCTGTTGTCATCATGGTGGGACATGGCAATGTACAGGCAGACATGGTGCTAGAGAGGTGGCTGAGAGTTCTACATCTTGATCCATAGGCAGCAGAAGAGACCTGTGTCCCACACTGGGTGTAACTTGAGCATATGAGACCTCAAAGCCTGCCCCTACAGAGAGTCACTTTTTCCAACACCTCCTAATAGTGCCACTCCCTATGGGCCAAGTATTCAAATACATGGGTCTATGGAGGCCATACCCATTCAAACCATCCCACCCATAATGGTCTTGCTCCTTTACCTTGGGAAATAATCCCTTATATTGATGTTCAGGGAGCTGTGTGAATGGAGGTGAAGGGTTCTGAGTATGGTTTATGGAAAGAACAGTTCACCGAGACTGGCCCTCATTGGGGAATAAGACTAACTTCTGACAGGAGGTTGGGTAGAATGGAGATGGCCTTCATGTCAGCCCTTACAGGGGTGATGTGGGTAGATGCAGGGGAAGTTTGGAGAGGGTCTTAGCCTAAGACCTTTTTGGAGTAGATAGTGTTTCCTGTTTCTGCAAAGACTGGGCAGGGAGAAGTCTCCTACTGCTGGGAGTGACCCGCTGTCTGTCTGTTCTGGATGAGCCACCTACTGGGGTTCTCCAGGCTAGGGTGTGATGACTACAAAGCTCCCTTTTTTGTGGGATCTCCTTGTCATGGGTAATTGACATGGGGCGCTGAGGGGTGAGTGGGTATGGAAACTGTAGAGATGGCAGAGGATGGTCAGAGCTCTGAGAAAACAAAGGTGCATCTTGGTGGTCAGTAAGCCCTCCGTGAGGGAGGGGCACTCCAAGTGGTGTTGGAGTGGGCAGTGGAGCAGGGCTGTGGCCATGTTCGCCAGGTCCCCTTGGTCAGCTTTCCTGTACCCCCTTGGTCTAGATTTGTATAAAAGAACTGGTTGCCACTGTGGCCATACTTCAGGAAATGGAAAAGACAGCAGGCGCGGGGGGGGGGGGGTCTCCAGGTGACCCTACCAACCTCTTTATCATCCCTCTCCCACCAGGAACCAGAATCATCTATGACCGGAAATTCCTGATGGAGTGTCGGAACTCACCTGTGGCCAAAACACCCCCAAAGGACCTGCCAGCCATTCCTGGGGTCACTAGCCCGACCAGCGATGAGCCTCCTATGCAAACCAGCCAGAGCCATCTGCACAGCAGCCCAGAAGACAAGCGGGCAGGCGGTGAGTGCTGAACATGTCCAGGTTCTAAGGGGAGGAGGCTTGTCTGTCTTCTCTGGGGAATCCCAAGCTTCAGGGTGGGGTGCTGGTGGGAAGCAGCACTCTGATTGGTACCAGCTTGGCTCCTTCAAAGCTCCAAGGACCCCAGGACAGATGTGATGCATCGGGTAATGTAACTTGTGAAGAACTGGCGTGCAATGACAGTGGCTTTACATCAGCCTGCCTGCCTATGTAGTTGCTCGCACGTTTACCACCACACATGTGCCACGCTTGGAGCACAGCTGAGATGCATGTGGTGCTGGAGACAACTTATCAAAGACACGGTGTACTTCCTTCCCCTCTGAGAATTTACAAGATAAAAAATAAACCCAGGTACCTCCTGGCAGGTTTCTGGTCCTTCAGTGGATTGTTGGTGAAGACAGGCAGACAATGCCTCCTATTGTTAATGGAACTTTGACATTTATAGCTAGGTACTTCCTGGTCCCCCACCTCTCCAAGGTAATCAAAGCACGCACCCTGGCAGCCACATGCCGGGTGTGGATGCGTTCTTGTAGCAGAGCGACTAGCCGGTCAGAACTTGAGTCTTGTCCCGTGTAGGCATGTCCACATGGAGATGTTATATGTAAGCAGGTCCACATACCCGCCGTCTGAGGAATACCATCTCTGACTCAGACAGGGAGCGGCTGACAGCCCTTGCCCTGTGGGATGTGATTCCTAATCGGGCAGCTGTGATGGGATGGAGCTGAATAGCAGTAGGAAGGTGGGTTTGACTTTGTGCAGAGAGCAATGGTCAGCAATCTACATGGTTCCCTGCTACCATATGTTCAAGGATGGAGAGATCCCTTGGTGATTGCACAGTGCCACACACCTTTCCTTTTTTACCTCAAATCAGAAATGACAACGGACGAAGTTAGGCCACACCTGAAATTGTCACCATGAACTGAATGAAGGCTGTCATTTACCCTTGCTGGCACACCTATACTGCTCCTGGTTTCTGATGGTACTCCCAACTCTCAACCCTAAATAGTGGCCTCGTAGCCCCAGATAGTGTGAGTGAGGATGAGTGTGTCCTTGTAACTTTCCTCAATGGGACACAAGAAAGCAAGCTACAGCCTTGTTTACAGAAAACTCAGCACTGTCACCTCCCTTATGAGGAAGCCTGATTTCCTCACCTAGGCACCTGTTCTCTTTGTTAGCATGTTCATCTCCACTGGACATATGAGAATAACTCCCTGGCCTCTAAGCCTGGAGTGTTGCATTTGCCCCTTGGTTATTGATTGGCCTTCTCCTCTGTCTTTTCTCTCCACAGGTGAAGAGTCACAGTTTGAGATGGACATTTAAGGGACCAGCCATAGGACGGAGTGATGCTTCTGGGCCTCTGAGGCCTTTGGGAGGAGAGCCACAGCAGTCAGGCCTTGCACCGGGCAGATGTCGGGTGTAGGCTGCCCAGTGCTGCTCCTCACTCGGCACCTGCTCCGTCTACCATTTTGTGAATACCAGCACATACCTCCTTGTGCCTCTGTTGACATTGAGCTGCTACTCCAGGGGAATGACTCTCGCCCACACCTTGCATCGAGTGAGTGCCAGGAAGTGGACACAGAGGAGCCCATCAGAATGGTCATCCGGCAATTTTAGCCCAACCTCTGGAGCACACCTACCCTTTTCTTAGGTTGGGTTACCTGGGAAAGCTACCCTTCACTTCTTTCTCTGAGAGGAAATAAAAGCCACCTTTCCCCTAGGCCCAAGGTTGGGCCCTGTCTGAACTGTTTTCAACTTAAAGTGATAACACAGTCACTCTGTTCAGTGCTTACAGTGAACTTCCCTTTATGTTATATCATGTGATTATCATACCAGTTGTCTAGGTAAGCAGGGCAGCCTTACTGTCTGCCTACAGCTTAGAAGTCTGGCTGGAGAGGAAGTAGTTCTCCATGGGCCTGGGCTGGAGCTCTGCTACACTGTAATTCTTGTTTTTAGCAGCAAATGTTACTTTTGTCCCCCTGCTCCTGGGCTACTGTGGAGCCTCTGATCCACAGGCACCTAGTCAGTCATCTCTATGTGTGTGCGCTACCATTGGGGCATGCAGAGGAGATACTTTCTCTGCCTTAAAGATGTTATTGAAGTCTATCATGTACCAATTAAAAAAAAGATAGCCTGAAACAGATTGTATCCCATTGGTTATCGGTGGTCCATGGAGGGGGAGGCTAGGAATGAGAACAGGAGGAGGGTATTGAGTGATACAAAAGTCTCAGTGAGCCAAGATGAGTAAAGATGATGATATCAAAGATTCCTTTGTGGGCACAGCAGGTACTTTTGTGTGTGAATGTGACTTTAGCTGTTTATAGGAGTCTTTGACAGCTAGACTGAGTAGTACACCAGGTGTCTCTCACTACAGGACCTGCTGAGGGGTGGGTACGCCCTTCATAGGTTCTGGGAACATAGTGTTTGTTACCTTTTCATTTTGGGAGCAGAAGGCCTCAGTGGCCAGATTTTTTGCATGCCTTTTCTACAGCTGATTTGCAGCCCCTTGCAAAGGAAGCTGTAATCTGTGTGGTAGTATTTGGAAGGACACAGCACTTTGTTTTGTTGACTACATACATACTGTATAGCCTCCTCTTGTGTATGGAATTGGAGGCCAGGAAGACAAATATGGTATGTATTCACTCATGTGGATTTTAGACATAGAGCGAAGGATCACCAGACTATAATCTACATTGCCAGAAAAGCTAGGAAACGAATAGAACCCTAAGAGATATACATGGTCCCCCGGAGAAGGGGAAAGGGACAAGATCTCCTGAGCAAATTGGGAGCATGGAGGGGTGGGGTGGGAGGAGTTAGGAGAAAGAGAAGGGGAGAAGAGGGAGCAGGAGGATTGAGTTAGCGGAAGAATAGAGGAGAGCAAGAAAAGAGATAACAGAGGGAACCATTACAGGTTTAAAGAGAAATCTGGCATAGGGAAATGTCCAGAGATACACAAGGATGACCCCAACTAAGGATCTGAGCAATAAGAGAGAGGCTACCTTAAATGCCCTTTCCCAATAATGAGATGATGACTACCTTATATGCCATCCTAGAGCCTTCATCCAGTAGCTGATGGAAGCAGATGCAGACAACCACAGCTAAGTACTGAGCCGAATTCTTGAATCCAGTTGTAGGGAGGGAGGTGTGGTGAGCAAAGGGGTTAAGACCATGCTGGGGGGAATCCAGAGAAACAGCTGACCTGAACAAGGGGGAGCTCATGGACCTCAGACTGACAGCTTGGAAACCAGCATGGGATGGAACCAGGCCCACTGGACATGGTTGACAGTTAGGAGGCCTGGGCAGTTATGGGTCTCCTGGTTAAAAAAAAAAAAAAAAAATGAATGGACATTGGGAACCCATTCCTCATAGAGGGATATTCTCAGCCTAGACATGGAGGGCTATGATGATACCTCATAGAAGGCCTTACCTTTTCTATGGAGCAGAAGAGGGGTGGGATGGGGGTTGGTGGGAGCATGGGAGGGAAAGGGAACTGGGATTGATACATAAAGTAAGATTGTTTCTAATTTAAAGGAAAAATTCAAAGAAAAAGGGGGGGGGAGATAGAGACTAGGGAGGGACTACCACCAAACAAAGGCAATGGCGATTTCAGCTAGGTGAAGTCCCATTGCCTATCTGTTACAATCCCAATAAAGACATTTCACCCCTGTCATCTCTGCAGAGGTCTTGCTTACTAGTCTGTGGTCCACTGCAGTTCCCATTTTCTCAGGGTCAGCATGCACATCCATGGTAGGCCCAGAGCCACAAAACAAAAGTTACCAGCTTCCCTCACTGAGTAAAGGTTCCAGTCTCCAGGGTTAATTGTAGTGGCAAAGCTCTGCAATCCAGCCTTTGTTTTCCAGGAAGGAAGATTGTGGGCAAATAAGCCTACTCTGTTCATCTTGACATCCCTATCTGCTGGAACCTTAATGTTCTGTAGAGATGCTCTCCTAAGAAACTCATCAATTTGGCATGCCTGCCCTCTGCTGTAACCAGAATCAATCTTTGTGTTGGAAGAACTCACTGTAGACAGGAATAAGCTTTAAGGAATGCTGTGTGTTCCTAATGGATATGAAACATCACTAAGCAACACTTGCGATTCACCAGTAACTGCAGGCTGTGACTATTCTGGGAATTAAAGGAAACTGAGGTTTAAGAATCCTAGAAAGTAGCTGGCCCTTGTAGTGGTTTTGTTCCCAAGAAGTCATGAGTGGTCTGTGTGGTTCAAGGTTCCTGAGAACAAGTTTTCCCAGAGTAAATATTGGAGGTGATAAGTTTGACACCCCTGAGTGATGAGGCTCAACTAGGTGTTGTGGAGAATGGGCTGTGTAGGAAAAGAAGGGTATAGATGCCAGAAGCGAAGTCAATGTTTGAGGTTTTGAGGCTGGGCTGGTACCTCTTAGTAGAGCGCTTGTTGTACTAGTGTGAGGACCTGTTCCACAGCACAGCTGAGAGCTCTTGGGGAGCAGAGATGAGCATGCTGGCTGTCCTGTGTACCTGAATCGACATGCTCCAGGTTCAGTGAAAGATGCCATCTTAAAAAAAGTAGAGAGTGATTGTGAATGAGTGACACTAGACATCTACTTGGGGCTTCCATGGGCCACATGCATATACACACACGAGTGCACAAAGGAAATACTGTGTTAGAAATTGCTTGGTCAATAGCAAGAAGGGCAGTAATAATCTTGGGGGATGTACCTAGTTAGCATGAGTGCAGTGTAGGGACCTGAACTGGTAACTAACTTATTGTATGTTATTGGCCCCTTTGTTTCCCACGTTGCTAGACATCACAGCTGGTACTTCCTCCTGGTACCTTTTAGTGTGACATTTAAGAAACTGGAGGACAAGCCCATCAAAAAAGTCTGAATTTCCACTTGAACAGTGAGTGTCTCAGGAAGGGTGAGATTCAGCAGTTGGGTTGTAATAATTCGTCAACCTCCTTTAAGAAACATGTGCTAAGTCTTCCCTACATCCAATGTCTTCATGCTAGAGAATCTTAGCAAGGGCCCAAGCACAGAAAGGTGATAAGGCAAGGAAGGGCATACAGTGGGAAGGATACGGAGACTGGAGAAGAATGTACCAGTGTCTTAGTCACTATTCTAGTGCTGTGAGAAGACAGCATGGGCATTTGATTGGGGGCTGGCTTACAGTTTCAGAGCTTGGTCTATTATGACAGGGAGCATGGTGGCTGGCATGGCAGGCATGGTGTTGGAGCAGTAGCTGGGAGCTACACCCTGATGTGTAGGCAGAGAAGGGGGGAGGGAAGGGGAAAGGGAGCATACCTAATCCACCTCAAAGTCCACTTCAGTGATCCACTCTCCAACAAAACCACACCCACTGCCATAAAGCCACACCTCTTAATCCTAAGTAGTGCTGCTCTGATGACTAAGCATTCAAATATATGAGCCTATAGGGGCCCTTCTTCCAAACAACTACAATTAGCGAATGTATACTTAGACTCTGTGTTGGGTAGCATGTGCCAGTTTGAATGACAACATCATTCAATTGCTGAAACAGCAGAAAAAGCCATAATAGAATGACTTGTGTACATCTAAACCTTGAACTTGGAGGGTAGCATTTTTATTCTTTTTTACACCTGGCAGTGGTAATGAGTATTGGAATTAGGATTCCAGTTGCTTTAGTCTCAAACTTCAGGTCCCTTATGCCACACTCTGAATGGAAATGAAGCCTGGGCACTTCAGGCTCCAAACTGTTAGTAGTCAATTGTTGGTTGTGGTTGTCAGGGCAAAGTTGAGATGGTTTAGTGAGTCTCTTGGGATTGGGTTTGAACTGGGGATAGCAGAGACTTAAGGGTGGTTAGTATCAAGTGCTCATAATTGTGTATGAAGCTCTTTTTGGGGTCAGAGTGCCACTGGCGGTTTATGCTGTGTGATTCCTTTTGTGCATTCATTGGGAAGTGAAACCTGGCCTTCCAGAGATATGACCAGAATTTAGCGAAGCCAAATCCCCCCATCCCCTTTGTAGTAGGACAATTAAACCTAAGAACAGCCAGCATCCCAGTGAAGGCAGTAGAGTTCTCTGTACAATTAACAGAGACAACGACAGTTGTCACCCATCTGCGAGAGGTCAATGGGTATGAGAAGGGAGGAAATCAGTTCCTGAGATCAAGTCATTGTCATCAGACATGATCAGGCTGCTCTCTCCATCGAGTGTGTGTGTGTGTGTGTGTGTGTGTGTGTGCATATAGGACCCCAGATTCTGTCCCCAGTATAGACTGGGTGTAGCAGTGCATGACTGGAGGGAGAAGCAAGTGCATCAGAAGTTCAAGTCCATACTTGGCTCCTTAGCAATCTGAGGTCAGCCTGAGGCTAAATGAAACCTGTCTTAAAGTAGAAACAAGTAAATAATATAATAAGGTCAATAAAAATAAGTAAATGATACCACCAAAGTCAGGGGGCCCTGAATTTTACACAGTACGGGACCGTGACTGGATGGTGTCCAGCAGGAATAGTAGAGGTGGAGGCCAATCCTTCCCCAGCTGGTTCAGAGGCCACAGCACAGAAAGCTGTGTTTTAGGTATCCCGTGCTCCTCAAACTCCAGAGCAAGCAGATTTTGGTTCCACGATGTTAATTTTCACCATGATACTTGGCTTCGTGCTGCCATCTGCTGGAGTTTATCGAAGTAAGGACTCATCTCTCGGGTAAGGTGATTTCATTTGGAGTCTGTTAGGTGGGGAGTGAAGGTGCTGTATATGTTGAAGACCAGAGG